TTTAATGAAAACAGAGCCTTGACAGCAACAACGTGGCTCCTGCTCTAGTAAAAAATATCAGCTGGGGTAGTGCGAGATTTCTAGCCATGACTTCCTGTTGCTGTTAGCTCTGCGCCGTGCCGGAGAGATCTGCCACGAGTTCAGAGGGCTGATCAGCTATTTAAATGAGCTCATTTAAATGAGCAGAAGTTGTACTACACTGGGTTTCCTGCTTAACCAAAACCTGCTTTGTGTCACTAACTTACTGTGTCAATTAATATGACACACTAAGCGAGAGGGTCAAAGGGCTGGCTCCGCTGGTGACTCATTTCTTGCTAGGTAGGTTACGGTTAGTCAGATGGCAACTTTTACTTTAGCTAAAGACCTTGTTTGCAAAAGAGAGAAGTGTTTTTATGCAGCTGGCTTTCAGACAGTATCTTGTAACTTCTGGGTTTTTTTCAGGTGAAAAACGCGCAACAGTTCTAGAAAAGGTGTTGCTGTCAAGTCAGTTTTCTGAAATTTAGAGAGGCACCCGTGGAGTCTTTTAGTTGTGTGGTAAATCCTGGAAAGGTTACACTAAATGGTGTGGTGTGTGTCTGGAGTAGTTTCTTGTTATGCCATGTAAATATGGCTCACAAATCATTAGACACCTAACTTTCTCATAGGATTAGTTTCTTTGTCTTCTCTTCCCTCTTGTTTCCAGCCCTCACTGTTTGCCTCTCCCTGTTTTCCAAGGTCTTGCCTTACTGCCTATTATATTTAAAAACAAATAAAAAACCCAACCCAGTGAAGTGCTGCAACACTTCTGGTTTCTGACAAATGAGAACAGCGCACTTCAAAACATTGTCTGAATAGCATAGGCTAGTTTTAGCTAGTTTCTAAATTCAATTTAAAAGGGATGAGCTGCTTTGCAGAGCCATCCTGTGGGCTGTGCAGGATCTTTGTTCCCGGAAGGGCTCCTCATGGCTCCAGGAGCCCATGGTACAAGGCATGTTCTCAGGTTAGGTTGCAAGCATGACAGCACTTTCCGTGAAGCTATGACAAATACAAAGTGGTTTGCTTAGAATAATTTTAAAGCAAACTTGACATACTTTCTACATGAATTAAGAACCCGTTTACATAATTTGGAGTTTATCTTGTGTTGGCTATTTAAATATTGTCCTATTGTTCCTGTTCCATGACTGGATAATTTATATGGCTAATCATCAGATGAAAAATTTGGTATGTCAGTTTGGTGTTTGTCGGTTACATAAATCAGCAATTGGGAGAATGAAAACAATACCAAGTTAAGTTACTGAAGTAACTATGCCAGACAGATTGCAGATTGATCATCCTGTTGGGAATGCTTGCGTATCAAAACTATGCATTACAAATTGGACAGCTTAAACTAAATTTAAAGATGTTGGAGATATTCACAAATAGTGGAAGGCAAGAATAATTTACCATATCAGCTTTGGCTGAAGTTTGAAAGTGTGAGGAA